TTGCAACCTTACTGAGCTTCCAAAGCTCCGTTAAGCATCGTCAGGCGGCAGCAAAGACCTTGGGCTGCGGTGCGAGACCGACTGGGCTGGGGTTGAATTCCAATGCCATGTCTGGTGACTTTGGACAAGCTAATCACTTTCATTGGGCCTCAGTTTCCCGACCTGTGAAATGAGGCTCACAGTAGTATCTTCTTAAGAGCGGTTGGAACATGAACAGCTAATGTACTGAGGGCCTTCAATGTATAAGGGACTCTTTTACCTATTAACTTATTCCATCTTCGTAAAATCCCTGGGAGATGCATCTCATTAGTACGAGGCTTGTTTCCCAGAGAGGGAAACGGGGACGCAAATTGCTTGGGTTAAGGGCGCCAGGGTGGCTTATTCGGTTAAGCGTCCGACTTTCGCTTAGGTCATGATCTCGCGGTTCGTGGGTTCGAGCCCCGCGTCGGGCTCTGTGCTGACTGCCAGCTCAGAGCCTGGAGCCTGTTTCAGAGTCTGTGACTCCCTCTCTCTCTGACCCTCCCCTGTTCATGCTGTCTCTCTCTCTCTCTCCTACAAATAAATAAATCATTAAAAAAAAAATTGGGTTAAGTAACTGGCCCGGGGTCACACAGCTAATAAGTGGATCCAGACTCAGCAAGTCAAGAGTCTAGGATCTTCACCAGCTAGCCTGGAGAGGCCAATGCCTGAAAGTGTTTGGAGAAGTGGGTCCGGCATCAAAATCTGAACTCTTGGAGCAGGAAGCACAGCACAGAGTGGGCGCTCCGTGAGCGGTGCCTGGTCATTCTTGCTGGCGTTGTCTCCCGTGAGGCCCCCAGGCACGGGTGCCTTCGCAAAGCACCGCCACCCCGGCGTGGGAGTGGAGGATGGGGAGCGCGTTGGGTGGTGGCTCATAAACATTTGGGGCTGTGAGAGCAGATGTGTGATCTTGCAGAATGATTCTTGCTTCGGGACTGTGTGTTGACGTTGATGTCACGGCTGCTCTGAGCACCCCAGATACTGTTAACGAGCTGTTCCAAGCCCAGCTGCGGTGTTTTCCTGCCATATGGTCCACACTGAAGTGCAGGGTCTTTCAGAGGGGGCGGCACGGATCGCACAGACGCTGAACCTTCACGCGTGGGAGACCTACTTAGAGGGGTCAGGCCCTCCAAACCGCTTCAGTTCTCCTCACGTCCAAGGATCATGCTTTCATGTGGTTGTCATGCGTGTATCTGTCCGACAACCACAAATAGCTAGGGGGCCAGCTACCATATGTGGCGGGCACTGTGTTCGACACGAGGGATACAAAGGTGAATAAAACATCGCCTGCAGCTATCAGCAACTGAGAGTAGCCATGAAGGGCCTGGGAACGCATCCTATTATGACAGCACGCTAAGCTCTGTGATGCAGGCCTTTGTCAAGGACTCTAGGAATGGAGAGGAATTCATGAATGAATGAATGAATGAATGAACATCACTGATTCAGTATTGATTCGGAAAAGGAGAGATGGCTACTTCCTGGGCTGTGAATCTGTGTATCTTCTTACTGGCAAGAATCCTGGCTAGCTCATACCACATGAGATGCTCCTACAGATGGGTGCCCAAATGGGGGGCCTCTCCATGAGTGACATGTTTTAGTTCTTCTGTCACATGATCAAAGCCCTTTAGGCTCCGCTGCCTTCTCCAGCACCTTCTCCAGCGCCCCTTCTCTCACTCCCTTTTGCACTGAGCACTGACCTGAGCACACACATCGTCTCCTAAACACCCTGGCTTGGAAGATGGGTGCTGTTTCATCCCAGATGCTTCAGGTGAAGACTCGATTGAGACTCACACACGTCTTGACAGACTGTAGCAATTAGCTGAAGTGCAGGAGATGAAGCTGAAAGGGGCCCCATAAAAAGACAAACGCTGGGGTCTAAGAAGTGAATGGCAGAGGACAAATGAAAAGGAAAACGGAGCAGCTGCTCCTGAGCTCACAAAAAAAAGGCCACAAAATACACAGGCAACAACAGTACATGCGAGGGATTAAACATCTGGATAGGGCCATGTAAAAATACCTATCTGCAGGTATTTTCTCTTGCATTAATAGTTATTTAATATTTTCGTACTGTGACACGCATTTCATACGAAGAGAGTATCTCTCTGGGGCGCCTGGCTGGCTCAACTGGTTGAGACTCCAACCCTCGATTTCGGCTCAGGTCATGATCGCATGGTTTGTGGGTTTGAGCCCCACATCAGGCTCTGTGCAGACAGCACAGAGTCTGCTTGGGTTTCTCTTTCTCCCTCTCTCTCTACTTCTCTCTCTCTCTCTCTCAAAAATAAATAAATAAATAAATGATTTTTTTTTTAATAAGAGAGAGAGAATATCTCTCTCCAGTCAATATAAAAGTAGGACATCACTTGTTCCTTAAACTCAGGCTGAACTCAGTCACCAGCCTCCAGGTCAGGGCCGGCCGTGCAGTTGGTGGTAATTGGCTTGAGTCAAAATATCCTTTTTCCCCTAGACCCGTTCTCTAGTGCAGTTGTTCAGCTTGCCATGTGGTCAGATAGAAGCATTTTTTCCTTGCTTTTCTCTAATAATTGCTGTGTCAGTGGTCTTGTATACGCCTGGTGTAAGTTATAAAACACCCGGCATTCACCGGGTGCTATTCTAAGTGATTTACCCTGGTGACCTCATGGGATCTTCATTCCCATCCTAGAAGGGAGGGGCTCTTGTTAACCCTGTGTTCTGAAGTGAGAGAGTTGGGGTTCTGTGTAGGTTAAAGATGCTTCCTAGAGGGCTGTGTGACTTCAGAGTAACTTAGAGGTTTATCGGCTTCCTAGTGAGGTGGGTGGTTGGACACTGCAATCCTGCACATCTGAGTCCCAGAGCTTTGCGCCCCTGAGCCCTGCCCCTCCGTACGAAACAGTTCAATCTGACGAGACCCGAACAGGCGCATCAAGACGTTCAAAGTACTTTGGAGAATATGTTAGTCCAAGACGAGCATGACTATGGCCGGGGCTGTTGGCTTTGATCTGGACACTCCTTGCCGTCCGGCCATTATGCTCCAACAACATCTGACTCTATGTGAGTTTCCTCTACCAGGCAGATTCCTCCTGCCTCCTAAAAGTGCTTGCCAAGAGAGCTCAAAACCCAGTAGCAATTAATTATTGACGGCGCATGTGAATTAGAGATAAAAGAAAAGTCGTTCTTTCTCTACACACTCGATAGTAAATAAATTTAATTATGGTAGGGGAAGCTAAGGGATCTTGGTCGGTATTAAGTTTTATTAGCTGAGACATTTAAAAGCATGTCATCACAACAAAGAGGTCTCGTGTAATCCTAAATGTACCACTTTGGTGCAGGGCTCAGAAGTGAATAGACTTAATGGGGCACACGGTGGCAGATGGCCTCCTGCACGACAGGTATAACAGGTTTATCGTCAATTAACTTTGGTCTACATATGCCTATAGCAAATTGACTGTATAATAGGATCCTGAGCCTCTTTTATCATTGATAAGCTTGCCACGCTGGGACTGGGGGGCAAATAGCATCAGACTCCTCTGATATCTTGAAGCTCCCAGATGAGGCAAGGCCACTCTGAAGGTGAACGCAAAAGGAGGGGTGGGGGGTTGGAGGTGCAGCCTTGGGGAGGAAACCAAGAGACATGGTGTGGGACCTGCCACTTGCTCGCTGGGCAAACTCAGGAGCAAGGTAAAGAACTCCATTTGTAACACCAGACCCCCGCTAGAAGCATGCACGAGGTATGTCATTTTATTCTGAACTTGTACTCAAGGTGAGCTTTAGGATTTTACAAAGGAGGTCAAGGAGGGGATGTGATTCAGCTTGTCAAGGTCACGAACCCTGTCCGGTTCCCCGTCTCTGGGCTTCAGTTTCTTCCTTTCCACCACAACGCCTTTGGACTAGGTCAAGGCTCACCAAGTGTTTTCCTAGAGGGCCAGACCATAAACGTGCTTGGCTTTGGGTGTCATTAAGTCCCTGGGGCAAGTAGTCCCCATGTTGTAGCGCATAAGTGGCCATAGCCAGTACATCAGGGGATGCGTGTGGCTGTTTTCCAGTGAAGCTTTATTTATGAGCATTGAAATTTGAATTTCATATTTTCATGCATCACAAAATGTTATTATTACTATGTTGGTTTTTTTCCAACCATTTAGAGATGAAAAATCGTTCTTAGCTGGGAGCCATACGAAAACAAGGGGCAGGTATTTGGTGGCCAACCCTTGGAGTAGATAATCTTTGAGTTCTTGGTGTGCTCCAACACCTTCCAAGAGCTGCTGTGACAATAATATCCTTGATTTATTAAGCTCTTGCACGTGCTGGATTCTGTGCTAAATGCTTTACAAGTTTTATCTCCCTTAATCCTTAGACTACAGTGTGAAGGGAGTGCTATCATTATCTTCATGTCAGAGATTATGTAAAACAAATACATAGAGAAATTAAGAGGATATCTCAGTTGACCATAACTGGCTAAAGATATAGGGCAGCACATGTAAACCCAGGTGCATAAGGTTCCCAAGAATGGATTCAGAAGCCTTGTGCTGCCTTTTCTGATAATACTGTGATCAGAACCATAGTGGGCATAGAGTTAAAAAGAACTCCTAGGGTTTATCAATGAATTTTATTTTGTAGTTCCCGATCAGGCTTTTGGTGGCACATGTTTTGTGCAAAATGTTGAAAGGTTTCTGGATGAGAGGCGCCGGGGTGGCTCAGTTGGTGAAGCGTCCAACTTCGGCTTGGGTCGTGATCTCACAGTTCGTGGGTTCGAGCCCCGTGTCGGGCTCTGTGCTGACAGCTCAGAGCATGGAGCCTGCTTCGGATTCTGTGTCTCCCTCTCTCTCTATGCCTCCCCCACTTACACTCTGTCTCTCTCTCTCCCAAAAATAAATAAACATTTAAAAAAAGAAGAAGAAGGTAGGGATTTCCTGGAGGAATGTCATAAAAAATTTTTAAATTTTTAAAAAATGAATAAAAGGTTTCTGGATGGGAATGACCACTCTCTTTCCTTTCCCTCCCTCTTCCAGAAATGTGATGCCTAAGACTTTGGATGGGCAGGTGACCATGGAGAAGACGCCGAGTTACTTTGTGACAAACGAGGCTCCCAGGCGCATCCACGCCATGGCCAAGGACATCAAGCTCATCGTGGTGGTGAGAAACCCTGTGACCAGGGCCATCTCCGACTACACGCAGACACTGTCAAAGAAACCCGACATTCCCACCTTCGAGGTGCTGGCCTTCAAAAACCGGACCCTAGGGTTAATCGACGCCTCCTGGAGTGCCATTCGGATAGGGATCTATGCTCTGCATCTGGAGAACTGGCTCCAGTACTTCCCCCTCTCCCAAATCCTCTTTGTCAGCGGGGAGCGCCTCATAGTGGACCCTGCCGGGGAAATGGCCAAAGTACAGGATTTCCTAGGCCTCAAGCGCATTGTGACTGAAAAGCATTTCTATTTCAACAAAACCAAGGGGTTCCCTTGTCTAAAGAAGCCGGAAGACAGCAGTGCCCCGAGATGCTTGGGCAAGAGCAAGGGTCGGACTCATCCCCGCATTGACCCGGATGTGATCCACAGACTGCAGAAATTCTACAAACCCTTCAACATGATGTTTTACCAAATGACTGGTCAAGATTTCCAGTGGGAGCGGGAAGAGCCTGACAAATGAGGCTGGGGAAGAGGAGGGAAGGCCAGTGAATAGCTAAGGAGGCTCCTTACCTGAGTCCTGAGTTACCCCCGGGGGTCTACAGCCTCAGCCTTGCTGGAGCACCAAGTAGATCCCCTCCTTTGTCCAGCCAGGATTGCTTCCAACGCTGTGGGCTTGGGCAGAGGGGTGGGTCCCGTGGCCTCCTCCTGGAGGCAACAGGTTTGCCTTGGCAATGGCATCTGGTTGACCAGATGGCCACCAGGAGCCACTGTTCCTTCTTGTCTCCTGCTAATTAATGGAGTCTAAAGACAGGCTAAATAGCTGTCAAGGTCACAGACAGTGCCGGGAATGTTTGCTTACGTGATTAAAAAAAAAAAAAGGAAGGTCTATTTTGGTCACTTTAGAAGCCTGAGCCCCAGCCCTGACTCTGGCACAGCCCTCTGCTGTATAAACCTCTGCTTCCGCCTCTCTCCAGAACGCTACTTGTGGCTGGGTGCCCCAGGACTCCTGGGGAGCAAGGCCCTTTGTCTAAGGCGTCTCTAACCTTCTCCTTAAAGGTCTCATGCCACAACCCTGTGACTTCCCCCTTCCCCACCTCATGAAGGCGGAGGCATGCACGTTCCTCACCAGAAAAATAAAAAATAAAAAAGCTGACACCCTTAGAAGCCTTTTTTCCAAGAGCCCTCTGACAAGGGTTGGGTCTCTCTCTCTCTCTCTTCAGGAGTGTCCCCGGCCGTGGAGAAGCTTAGCGTCAGCTGAGAATCAGGCCTGCATAGCCCTTCTCAGACCAGCGCGATCGCCCTTGAGTTCCGAGCCCTGAGGTTGATAAAGATAAATGCTCTTTCCAGGGGTGAAAAATAGAAAGCCAGACCTTTGGGGGGGGTGGTGTTCATAAGTGAAGACCCTTAGCACTGTGGTTCTGGGAAATGCTTTACGGGTGGTTTATCCATCCCTTAGGGTCCGCAGAGGGGCAAGGACCGGATAGCGGGCATGTCTTCTGTTACAACGAACAGGGGCCTTGCTCACCACCCTTCTGTTTGCCTCACTGTGTTCCCCCTTGTGGTCATCTGACGCTTCATGTGCTCTTCTCAGAGATGGCCCACATTGGGGCCCCATCTATGGAGGGTTGTCAGATCCCATCTGGGGATGTGGGGGAAGGGCAAGGGCTGTCTTCAGACACCCCTTCCAGGGGCTGCCGAACAAAGTGCCCCTTCCCGTTACTTCGATTCGATTGAAACGCAGCACTTGACATCAAGCACCAGCTCACAGATCTCCCAAACCAGGGATGGTTCTAGCAAATTTCAAAAGATGTATGAGTGGGGGGAGCTAAGTCTGTTCAGCTGATATTAAACTGTCATTTCTCCCGCTAAATGAAAACCGTGTTGTTATAAAGCTTAATGCAACCTGATTAATGGGCTCCGCTGCCGTGTTTGTATTGGTCATCTCCGACCCCACCCCTCCCCTTGAATTTTGGGACTGTCCCCTTCTCCAGGTGGCCAGAAAGACCCTGATTTGAGAATCTGCCATGGGATTCTGTCTGCAGGGTCGGATAATTCTTGCAACAGCACAAAGGACGTGACTGTGGAAAGGAGCTCAACTCTCTCTCTCTTAACTCATCCTGGCGAGAAACAGACTGACGGGCTAGGCTCAGAAACAACCTCACAAATAATTTTTCTGCCGGATAAGAAAGTGGTTATCGACTGAAGGCCACGTATATACATACTTTTACCACCAAAGTAATAGAAGGTACAGGTACACGCACACACATGCCCATATAAACCCACCTCGAAGGAAGAAAATGCATCCTGGTGCAGAACAGTGCTTTGAGGGCTGGCTGATTGGGGCCTTGAAGTACAAGCAGAAGACTTGGGTCTGGCTGCCCATCAGGGGCAACAATGGGCTCCTCGGGCTACAGCCTCCTGAGCTCCTTTGCACACTTCTTGTAGAATCAGGACCTCCAGAGTAGAGCTCAGACGCCTGTTCTTTCAAAAATATTCTTTTTTAAAATAAATTTTAATATTTTATTTATTTTTGAGAGAGAGAGACACAGCACAAGCAGGGAGGGGCAGAGAGAGAGGGAGACGCAGAATCCGAAGCAGGCTCCAGGCTCTGGGCTGTCAGCACAGAGCCCAACGCGGTGCTCGAACCCATGAACCGCAAGATCATGAGCTGAGCTGAAGTTGGATGCTTACGCGACTGAGCCACTGAGGTGCCCCTCTTTCAAAAATATTCTTATGGGAGCTGGGATTGAGAACAGCTAGAAGAAGAGTCCTGCCTGTGTATTTCTTTGCTCTCTCATGCTCCCTCCTGCCCTTGTATGCTTCCGTGGGAAATACTCCGAGGAGAAGCGGTCCCCAGGGTTTCATGGCTTCCTGGGGGAAACATAGTCTCTCTTTTCTTCTCCACTTCTGTGGCAACTAGATAAGGGATGAGCTCTCCACCTACACCGTCAAAGGAGCATCCGGTTATAAGGAAGCTTTCAAGATATTTGTCTACCAGCTAAGAAGGGCCATTACATTAGCCTACCCTGACCCTAATCTCTTTTAACCTGGCTGGACATACATTGACTCAGCCCATCAATTACACCTACTTTTCACTTTCCACCTCCCTGTCTCTCTATCCCTATAAACCCAAACATCGACATTTATGTGATACTGAAAAAGAAACCTCGTAATTAGGTGTCCTCACATAAATATGACAAGCAAATCCATTTTTAACATGGTGAGCCAATGATTAATAGGCCATAATCACCTGGAAAATAAAAGTGGGGACCCCCCCTTAAATATGTATACACTTGAGAGCTTGAAGGTTTTTTTCTTTTTAGGGTCTGTTTGGCGATATGGTTGAAAGCCCATGGTTTGGAAAAGAAAGGCAAACTTGACATGTTTAAGTTCTATTTTCTGCAGTGTCTACTCTTGCTTGATCCTCGTGACTCCGGGAGTGAGCCAGGAAGCCGTGTCCCCTTCTGCAGGGGGAGAAACTTGACAAAGGAATTATTTCCCTTTCAGAAAAGCTAAGTCAACCTGCTAAAATAAGAGTCAGGTTAATAATACTTCCGCCCTCTTTAAACGTGAGCATCGCAACTCACAGGAGATTGAATTTTGTATTTGATTTCAATTAGCAAAGCATAAAATATATTTAATTTTCTCTTCCCCTCTTCCCCCTAGAATGGGCAGCTCACGCCTCTGGAAAGGCTGCTGCGTGTGGTTCGGAAATGAGAAAAGGAGAATTCTCCGTCCCAGTAGCCCAGCTGTCCCTGCTCCCATATGCATCGCGTTTAGCCTGTATTATTCTGTACACGAAGCATATGAGAGCCTTGGTGTTGCCACTAGACCTGCCAGCTCACAACAACAGCAAGGAGGGCAAAAGCATTCAGCACTCCCACTTACCTTTCTTTCAGCTGTATGTGAAAACCATGACTTCAGTTTTGCCCCGTTTCTTATCCTTTCTGCTCCTTCCTATTTGACCACCCTCAGCCCCCTTAGTGTCCAGAAAAACCTTCTGCCTCACTGCTGTCAGGACAGAGGGGGCCAGGTTCTATCCTTGCCTCTGCCAATGTCTTGACCATCTAAACCTTAGTTTTCATAGCTCTAAAATGGGCATGTTTAATCCGCATCCCATCTACCACTCAGTGATTCTATAATTACAATGAATTAATAGATGGAGGGTATTTGGAAAGAATGAAGAGCTTCAATGATATAAAGGATAGTGATGACTATGGTAATGATAGTGAGGACGATGGTGATGATGATGAGAGTGATGATGGTGAAGATGATGGTGATGAGAGTGATGATGGTTATGATGATGGTGATGAAGCTGTAGAAAGGGAAAGAAAAGGGAAGAGGTTCTCAATACTCCTTCCAGAACAATATGTCTTTATAGAGTTCCAAGGTTCTCTTTTTACTCATACTGGACAATTGTGAGAATGTCAAGAGAAATGAACCGACATTGAGCCTGTTCAAAGCTCAGGCCAGTAGAAAGGCCCTCCGTAGCGCGGGACTGGCTGGAGTTCAGGCTTTCAAATGCAAACCTTCTCCCTACTGGTCAGGACCATCCCGTCACCCCAGACAAAGACAAATGCTCCTCACTGTGGCCTTTCCCTTTTTCCACACTCAAGGCTCTTTTAGACATAGCAGGGCACCAAGGCTCCTCCAAACTGAGCCAAACAGATCCTCTTGAGATAAAAATGGGAACGGCATTTTCAAGCTTCCGGACTATGAATTCTGTGCCTGGAGCTCTGACTCCTGAAGTTCACGTGGAAGACAGAAAAAGGTGGAAAACCAGGGAAGGTGCCTGTTCCTAAATTTTTCTGGGAATAAAGTTGGGTTGGGGAATTCCTCAGGCTTTTATTTAACAACTTGGGATGGGGAGGGATGCGTTCATATGATTTCTAGCTTCTCAGAGTAGGGCGGTGGTGAGGATGTGTCATTTTAAGATATGAGATACATGAAACCACTTTTTTTAATTGTGAAAATATCGGATGTGGCAAGGTAATCAGAGCATGTCATCTGTTACCCAGGCAGGAAATGAAGGCCAAAGAAATGTAGGAGATGTGGGTCCACTGACGGAAGACAGACAAGAATCTCTGGTGTCTCAGAATACAGGAACGACTATAGCACTGCCCTAGAGTCCATCACGTTTCATTCCAGCTTTTAGTCCACAAATATATGTATAGATGACTAAGTGGCAGTTGAAAGAGATATGAGAGAGAGAGAAGCTGACCTGAGAGAGCTCCCAGCCAAGGGGTTGGGGGCAGCGGAGGAGGGGGGTGGGAGCGGGGGGGAGACAGACACAAAAGAAATACATAAAGAGAAGGTTTCACTATTGTGAGAGGGGATGCCCAAGGTACTATGAAAACACAAAATTGGGGCAGGAGGTAACCCACCGGGGGAAAGGAAAGGCCACTACGTACTTAGGGCGCTAAAGACCATATCCAGCAACATTTTACCTCATCCCGAATCAAAAGCCTATTCTTATGCTCCAGACTTAAGCTAAAGCACAAAGAGGTATGAAAGCACAAAAGATATGAAAAATACAAGATTGTTTTAAGAAGGCTACTAGGGCTTGGGGGTGGGGGAGAAGTGTATATGAAGGACTTTGCCATCAAGGATCATCTTTTCCCAGAAGGCAGCCTGACCATAGCCAAGCCCCTTAATAGGGAACATAAATTCTTCCAGACACAGCCCTCACTTCCCACCACCTATAGTTCCTTGCATTGTCTCAGGTCAAGGGCAAGGGATGACTTTCTTCCCTTAGCTGTTGGCTAGTTGTTGATTCATAGATCAAGAAGGCAAACAACAAACCAATAGAAACTCAACTCTTCTGAAAATGTGCTAAAGTCAATAATAGTTGACACGAAAGCACACACACACACTCACACATCTTATATTGGATTAGACAATAATGTAGATTTGTCTTCTAGGTCGGGGATAATCAACGAGTCTTATCCCTGTAGTTTATAGCCGGGGACTCTGAAGACTTGGGAATTTGAGGGACTTTCCCAAAGTTTTACGGAGACGTAATGACTAAAGTGAAACCACGATGGCAGGGTACCACGCTGTGGGAGAGACAGCCTGCCCTGGGTCACCACAGTAAACAGTTTCAAGGAGTATTTTCATCACCTTGTCTCTAAGCCCAGGAAATGTCAGTTTGAATAGCTTGGATCCCATTAACCATTCTGGATCATTGGAAAAGGGTGATTCTGAAATAGAACAGTAAAGGCTAGCTGGGAGGTTGGGAGGTCATCCTTGTGGCCATGAGTAGACTAGAGCTAGAACCGTGTCTATCGTGTTTGGGGTGAGAAGGATCCCCACCCCAGCATCTTTCTGGCTCTAAGTGAACCAATACCTCCCTGTTGTGGTCATATCTGTGGGGCTTAAGTAGGGCTGCACGGGACACACTAAGCTCCTTGGGTTAATGCTAACATTCTGAAAGTCTCAACTTGAGAGAAGGGTTGACCTTTTTGAATGTTTCTAACTTTTTTTTTTTTTAGCCTCTCCCTACCTGGAAGAAACACACAAAATATCTTGGGAAATGGGGAGTGAGAGGAGCTGGAGTTCCAGAATTAGGCTGGAACGAGGTGGGGAAAACGACCAGCTGCGGTTCTCGGAAGGTTGAGAGCCCATCACGTCCAGTCCTGCTTACGTCTACAGAGGGTCCGCAGAGGCAGTGGCGGGGCAGGACACGGTAGCCTTCACACTGCTCTGCGCTGGGTGGAGGGCCTTGGTCTTCTCCCCTTAGACAATTTCTGGAAGCCTCAACCCCCCTCGGTATATCCGCCTGTCGCATCTTTGCTTGCAACTCAATTATACTGGTGTCTCTGTAATCAAGAATATTTGCCCCTAAGTGCACACGTCTTCAGGCTTTGAGCTTTTGTCACCAGTTTGTCACTGAGATCATGGGAACAGC